AGGAATTAGCCACAGAACATATATGCACAACCCACAGACACAGACTGCAGTGTGGGGAAGGCCAGATGTGGAGGGGACTGGGCAGAGGTGGGCAAAGCAGGGGTGGGGGATGGGGGACATCTGTAATAGTGTCATGGATAAAAATAACAAATAGATTTAAATCTAGACTGACTCTTAGAGGTAGGAGTCAGCTAATATTCATTATGGTATTTTTACCTTTAAATAAGTAAATCTCCATCATGAAACATTTTAACAACAAATCTGATGTATCTTGTATCCTTGATCAGTTTGTTTCCTGGCCCTTTTGTTTGCACTGTTTTGTTTTAAATGGGAAAAGACCAGGACCAACAAGTTGGCATTAATCAAAGTGGTTAAGACATTTTAAAAATAAAGCAATTTAAAGTAATAGTTTAATAAAATGAAAATACACATTAAGTATCCCTTAAATTCTTAAGAATCACTTTGGAAGTAAGAAGAGTATCATGTCTAAAACAAGTAAGCATGAGTAAGTATTCTGTTATTTTAAAGTTCGAGGAAACCACGGGCCTACAGGAACATGACCGGAGTCGGGGCTCACCGATGTCTGGCCCTACGCTGCTTCGCTGGGAGTCGGGGGACACGCTCGGAGAGTGTCCGGCTACCTTAGGGCTTTCACTGGGAGGCACACGAAATGCCTGAAGGCTCGATCCTTCCCCCGGGTACTCCGAGGTGCTATGGGGTCACTGCATCCTCTGTCTACGGTTGTAGGAAAGTTTTCCAGCTCGTTCTAACACCCCTGGCGTACAGCGGCCCTTCCCACGCTTCCACGCTTCACACAAGTCCGCCGGGATTCCCGTACACGCGCGTTCCAACTTGGTAGGCCGGGGGCTGGGGGCTGGGCTGAAGGAGTTCCCGGCGACGGGGACACTGCGGTCTCTGGACCACATCTGAGTGGCAAGGCGGTGGAGAGCCATGGGATTGGATCGTTACGAACCTACACAGGTCCAAAGGCGGTTTTTGGGCTATCATTTGCTAAGTACAAATATAAACCCAATCACGTTTTTTTTATTAACGTGTGAAAAGGAAAAATATTCATTATCATGCTTGAAAGAACTGCTTAGCCAGTTGAGCTCATCTATGGAAAAAAAGCGCCTGGATTATGATGTAAGCCGAGACTGGAGACGATTTAAATGATATCAGATATCCAACAGATCGAGTGTTTACATAGGAAGAACTTCCCACCAGAACGGTTCTGTCACATCTCTACCCAGAAGCTGTCACGATCAAGCTTATTATCAATTAGTGCTTTACAAGTATAGAATAAGTTAAGCCGCCCGCCTTCGCTCAAGCAGAGATCCAAAGCTGTCAAGGAATGTCAGTTTTAAATCTGACAGAGAGAAGAAAATTATCTCCTGTTCTGACCTCTAATTTCTTGACATTTTAATGCCATAATTGCTGTGGTTAGTGCTGCTTCATGATTTCACCTGTCAAGAAAGAATGAATCAATAACCTTAAGCCATTTCTCAAATTTTAGCTCTCACTTCAAAGCTTAAAATGTGGGATTTTTTTAAAAAAACAAAAGGGACATTCATATATCAGATCTTTCTCTTTTAAATCAGTGTTTAATTTAAGACTCTGAAAGAAACATCTTCCTTGGGCAGCTGGAGTTTCATGTAAAATAAGTGTAATAAGCCTTCCTTTGGTGCTATTGACCTGACGCAGTGACCTTAGCAGACTGGCCAACTTGGAGGGGGAGTAGAGAGGTAAACCAAAGAATTTATGCACATAGCATAACCATTAGACACAGACAACAGTGCTGGGAGGAGGGGTGTCAGTGGGGGAAAAAGGGGAAACATCTGTAACAAAAATAAATTAAAAAAATGTTTTAAAAATGCTAAGATAAATATGACCAAATAGAGAGAACGCACGAGCTCAACACAAGGGCTGCACGCTGCGCGCTGCTTTTCCACGCGCCCTATCGTGTATGTGGGTGTCAACCCTCTCAGGTCCTCGTCCCACAGCGCCGCCCCCAGAAGTCAACACCGCCGGTCTGAAAAGGGGTGCTGCGCCCCCAGAGGGCGTCCCCGGGGGACGGTGTGTGGAAGGGGCACATGACCAGCGATCAGCGAAGAGCTGTACCTCACTGTGCTGCTCCAGTTCCCTTTCCTGTGCGTGGAGCTGCCGCCTGTGTGCTGGGAGCTGTGCTGTGTCCCCTCCTTCCCGGGGACGGAGGGAGCAGAGGGCGCCCCAGGCCACCGAGACAGCGCCAGGGCCTGAGCTGGGCTGCCCTCCCTGCCAGGTGTCACGTGTTGGTGCAGAGCCAGAGCTGTGGGGCTGGGTGGAGGAGCTACGGGAAGGGCTGGGGGCCAGAACGTGGACTCCCGTCCACGAGAGCGTTGACTGTGCTGACAGACAGTCTGCAGAGCTGACACAGGCCCACAGGGCCCCGCAGCGTCTGCTGGTGTGTGCTTGGGCCCTGCCGGCGGGTGGGAGGTGGCAAGGGCTCCAGGTACAAGCTTCCTCACCCAGTACTCGGAAAAATAGGTCCCTGGGTCTGGGAGGCGAGTGCGGAGCCTCGGGAGGGAGGACACACCACGGGGGATTCCCAGAGCCTCTCTGCTGGGACCTCGGTCCTCGGCAGTGCTGGGCTGGAGGAGAGTCCTGAGCTGAGCACCCCACACTCGACGGTCCACCTCACTGCACGTCACCAGGGGCGCGTGTCACATATTGTTCCCATCGTCTACCGAACAGCAAACTCTATGGTCCAACCACTCCCACCCAAATCAAACATGTGAAACTGCACATTTCCATGTACGACACATTAGGAAGTTGTATAGTTTGACGGTAAAAACCGATACATTGTTTCTTCACTGGGTAAAGCGATGGTGTGGCATTGTTACTGGATTCAAATAATAAACACTATGTCCATGTAATGAATATTTTCTTTTTATTCTCTCATTAATCTCTCTTCCTGTCATTTAAATATAAAAAATATGCTACTTTTCTGTCAATGTTAATGCTGCCTTACACTTTCATCACATGGAATATGCTTAAAATATCTGTCTTGTCCAAGAGGATTTACTTGCAACTGTCTTTATAAGAACAGGATTTTATAATGGATAAAAATGTATAATAAAATATTCAGGAACAAAACTGTCTACAGTCTTTAAAAGTCAAAAAAAATTTGAAGTTGATCTTGGAATAACATAAGAAGCTATTCCAATGACTTTTTTTTTATTTTTATTATTCTAAGATATTGGTTCTAAAAGGAGAGTATAGTTTGCAAGGAGTTTGTAGAACTGGGCATGTGTTAAGCAAAGGCATATTGTTAAGAGAATAATTAAGCTCAGAATGATCTCCTACAAAATAATCTTATTACAGTTTGTACACGACTGGGAGATGCTAAGTTAGGTGAGAGGAATGTGCTGTAGAGAAAACCCCCTATTTCACCCGCTGCTCTCATCATATCTGGCTTCGCTCTCACCCCAGCTTTGGGAGCCATTCTGCTCCGGGCTCACGCTGTGTCCACACGCACGACCACACACGCACGACCACGCTCGCGTGTGCTCTGGATGTCGGCTGTCCCGGCCCAGGGGCCCATGGTCGTGAGGTTCTTCCTCTCCTTCCCCTGGGCCTGAAGCCACACAACAGTCATTTGTGTCCATGGAGGTATGTAAGAAATAACTTTATGGATGCAAACTTTCCTTGTAGAGGCTTATTTCTCCAAATTGACAAGTGGCCCACCTCTAAAATAGAAGATAAGAAAATAAGAGCATCCAGCGGACTAGAAAGGCAGAAGCGGCCGCCCGTTCTGCACGGGGCCCAGGGCGAGGGGGGGGGGGTGATGACAGGACATGCCTCCTGCGACACCGCATAGCCAGCTCGCCACCGTTCCGCACTCGTCCTGTGCAACGAGGAAGGGACTAAAGCAATGTTTTCTCTGAACATTTGCACTAAAGTACTCACACACGAACGCTAACCCCGCGATGCCCACCTGTGTACCGCCACGCCACACCCGACCGCCCAGCAGGGCCCTGCGCCCGCCCTTCCCACAGGCCGGCAGGTGGACAGCCCACAGCCGCACGACAGCCGTCGGTGCGAGTGAATGATAACCATCCTGTTGTTTGTCAGGCCGGCAAACTGACATTTGTGGGCGTGCCGCAGAAGGTCAGTAATGGTGTGTGTGCCGCGAGAGGAAACGGACCAACGTCGCCGCTGTAACATGCAATTCCTAGCCGTGAGCGGGAGTTCCAGCGTGAGAACACGCGGGAGTAAGACACTCCAGTCTCATCTACTTCACGGACGCAGTTTTGAGTCTTCTGTCTAGGAGGCTGTCGTTTTGCTTTTATTAAAAAAATGCCCAGGGGCCCTGGCCGGTTTGGCTCAGCGGTTAGAGCGTCGGCTTGTAGTCCAGAGAGACCCGGGTTCGGTTCCCGCTAAGGGCACGTGCCTCGGTTGCAGTTTGTCCCCGGCCCTGGTTGGTCATGTGGGTGGCAGCCACTTGATGTGTCCCTTTCACGTCGATGTTTCTCTCTCTCTCTGCCTCTCCCTCCCTCCCACTCTATCTGAACAAAAAAATGGAAAAATGTCCTCGGGTGAGGATAAAAAAAAAAAAATGCCCAGGGACAGTATTTTCCTGAGAACTGGTTGCACATCCAGCTAGGTCTCGCATGGCACACGGGCACTGAGCTTGCCGGGGACCTGGGGCCGAAGGGAACCAGGGCAAGGGGCTGCAGACACACTGGCAATTCAAACAGGAACGCGCATGGCACACGGGCACTGAGCTTGCCGGGGACCCGGGGCCGAAGGGAACCAGGGCAAGGGGCTGCAGACACACTGGCAATTCAAACAGGAACACACCGGGCTCCTTACTCGGCTTTGACAAGTAACATTCATTTTTCCGTCTGTCAAGGATTGAGCTGTATATTTCGTAAAAATGTATGTTGAAAGGAAATGTGAGAGCCACATTTGTGTCTGAGGGGTGACAGATTTCGGGGGAGATCCTGGCGCTGAACACCTACCTCCCTGAGCACAGGGTCCGTGACGCTGTCCAGGTTCACAGAGCCCTCGTAGGTCAAGTAGTGAAACACATTCAGAGCACGAACCGCTTCTGGTCCTCGCTGCTTGTAGCCAAATATAAGGTCGATCCACTGGTGGAGTTGGCAGGAGACAAATTCACTTTCCAGGGCCTGAAACGGGTGGAGAAGAGAAAATGAGAGGCCCTGCGAACTTAGCAACGCGCACTTGTCTTTTTCTGACTCTGAGCTGTTCTGTGAATGAGCGGGACGTGCTCTCTACGGTCCTGCGTTTTATCTGGGGTGCGTCTGCGCCTGGGGACAGCGGAATGCAGCCTCTGACGAAACATGGCCCTGGATGAAAACCGTCTCTCTCCAACGCTCCTCTCTCTCTTCGCTCCATTTCCTATACAACGTACACTTTAATATTAAATCGATTTCTTACAAAGACACAGTCATGTTAAAAAAAAGTAATCTGAAATGCCTGTTTTGATGCTGTTTTACAATAAATTTCTTCCTAATTTTTAAACATTAGTTTGAAACAAAACGATTCTATTATAAACTTTGATATATTTTCGTGCCTAAAAATCTTCGAATTTACCTCTACGCGACTTAACTTTACCAAAAGGGAACGCCTTCCTTCTGCCACAAATAAACTCTGCTACTATGTGGTTCTGGAGCCACGTGGCCATTCCCGATGTTTGCTCGCTGGTGGGAAACGGATGTGAATTACTGAGCACCGTGGCCATGCTGAGCTGCCACAGTCAGGAAAATCGGCCTTTCCACTGCTTCGAGCCGTCATGAGCCTCCCGGGGGTCACTCATCACACAGGCGTGGGGTTCCGTTCCCGCCTCTGATGAGCAGCGACACACACCGGAGGCTCACTGTGCTGCTCACACACTGCATTCGGAGATCATCCTTTCTTATTGTTGTTAAGAGCATAGTGATTTCAGCACCGTGGGCCAAAAGCTACAGAGCTCCCTTCTTAAATTTAAAATGTGTGCACCATGCAAAACAATCCTCCACGTCACAGCTGCGACTAACTATGAGAATAAATTCATTCTCTGGGTGCGTGTCTCTGATCTCTAAGATCTTAAAACCAATTTGAGATTCATTTATAAATAAATGCTTGAAATTAGTCCTCTGGTAATTATATTTCATTTTTTTTTTTTTAAATCTAGAACATGTCTGAATGATACTTTTCAACTCTTCCTAGGATCGTATTTAAGTAGTCATTTATTAATTGCGATCTCTTTCTTGATTTATTCCTTTCAAAATTGTTGGCATATGTTTTGTTTTATTTATTTTACTCCAATTCTATGGGACTTGACGTTTTATTTTTCAGTTATATGTATTCAATTAGAATTTCTGTATCTAAGTGTTCGATGGTGGTATTAAGTGCTCAATATGTTGCCTTGATAACCATCACCACCACTGCTGCTCTGCGTGATACTGTGACCAGCCACATGGCTCCCCACGGGTCCCGTCTGTCTGCTGGCTTCTCACTTTTCCTATTTTTAAATTTTCATTTATTTTATACCAGTCCCCCTAGTCTCCTCCCCTTTGGCAGCCATCAGCTTGTTTTCTATCTTCATGGACCTATTTCTGTTTCTTGTTTTGTTTATTCATTTGTTTTTCTTTATATTCCACATATAAGTGAAATGTATTTGTCTTTATCTGACTTACATCACTTAGCATAATACCCTGCGAATCCATCCATGTTGTTGGAAATGGCAAGTTGTAATTTTTTTTTATATGGCGGAGTGATACTACATTGTGTGTGTGTGTGTGTGAGTGTGTGTGTGTAATTTCACATCTTCTTTGTCTATTCGCATATTAATGGACACCTAGTTGGCTTCCATGATCTTGGCTATGACTAGTAATACTGCAATGGACATAGGGCTGCATGTATCTTTTTGGATTCGTGTCTTTGTTTTTTCAGATACAAAATTTTTTGAGAAATCTACACGTTGTTTTCCATAGTGGCCGCACTAAAAACAATAGAAATGTAAGAGCCATTGATCAGCAGTCTCCCATATGTGCCCAGACTAGGGGACAAACTTACAACCTAGGTACGTGCCCTGAATGGGAATGGATCCCACAACCTTTTGGTGTATAGGACAATGCTCCAACCAACTGAGCCACTCGGCCAGGGCTGTTCTTCTTTTTCTAGTTCCTTTAGGTGTAAACTTAGATGACTTACTTGGGATTTTCTTGTTTCTTGAGGAAAGCCGGCATAGCTATGAACTTTCCTCTTGCAACTGCTTTTGCTGTATCCTATACATTTTGAAAAGTTGTGTTTTTATTTTCATTTGTTTCAAGATTGTTTTTTATTTCTTGTTTGATTTTCTCTTTGATCCACTGGTTGACTAGCACCATGCAGTTTAGTCTCCAAATATTTGTGTTTTTTCCAGTTTTCGTCTTGTAGTTGATTTCTAGTTTCATGCCATTGCTGTCAGAAAAGATGCTTAATATGATTTTAGCCTCCTTGAATTTACTGAGCTTATTTAATGATTTCTATGTGATCTGGAGAATGTTTCATGTGCCCTTGAAAACGTGTATTCTGCAGTTTAGGGATGAAATGTTCTATGACTATTAAGTTAACCTGTTGTAATGTGACATTTAAGGCCATTTTTTCCTTTTTCTCTGTGTGGATAATCTATCTATTGATGTGAGTGGGATAGTAAAATCCCCTACTATTATTGTATTAGTGAGATTTCTCCCCTTATGTTCATTAATGATTGCTTTATATATTTAAGTGCTTCTGTTTTGGGTGCACAGATGTATATGATTATTGTATCTTCCTCTTGGATCGACCCCCTTATAATTATGTAATATCCTTCTTTGCCTTTTTTTACATTTTTTGTTTTAAAGTATTTTTGTCTGATGAGCATTTCTACCCACGCTTTCTTTTCATTTATATTTGCATGGAATGTCTTTTTCCATTCCCTCACTTTCATTGATTTGAAGTGAGTCTTCTGTAAGCAGCATACAGATGGGCTGTTTTTTAATTCACTGCTTCACCCTGGGTCTTTTTATTGAAGCATTTAATCCACTTGCATTTAAAGTGATGACTGACAAATATATAACATACTTATCGCCATTATGGTTTTGTTTCGTTTTGTTCTGACCGTTCTCCTCTGTTCCGTTCTTCTCTCTCTCTCTCCCTCTGCGGTTGCTCGTTTTCCTTAGTATTTTGTTTGGGCGCATTTCTCTTTGCTCTTCGGATTCTTTTGTAGGTTTTCGTTTATGGTTGCCATGATGTTTCCTGCATATCCCTCCATACCTGTAGCAGTCTGCTTTAAGCTGGTAGGCATCTACCGAACACGTAGTAGAAGGGTATGTTTACTCCCACCTCCATGCTTTGTGTGTCACATCTTGGATATTTTTGTGTTGTGTACCTCCTAATTACTTATTGTAGTTTGAGTTGAGTTTTGATACTTCTTTTCTTTAAAATGTCTGACTTGCTGTATTTATTATTTGGCTTTTACCTGAGATATTTTTTCTTTCTCAAATATTCTTATTTCGGGCTATATCCTTTCCCCTTCTGCTTAAAGAAGGCCCGTTAACATTTCTTGTGAAGTTGGTTTAATGGTGATGAACTGCTTTATTTATTTATTTTTTCTTTCCTTCAATCCTAAATGATAACCTTGCTGGGCAAATTATTCTAGGTTGTGGGTTCTCTTTCCAGCTCTTCAAAGATGTCCTGTTAAGACATGCTACTCCTCTCTGGCCTATAAACTTTGTGCTGAGGGCTCAGCTGATAGCTTTACGGGGATTCCGTCACATGGAATCGTTGTTTTCCTCTTGCTCCTTCGAGAATTATAATGTGGCTTCGTCTGGTTCTCCTTGGTTTCAACGATGCGCTTTTGAGGCTTGAACTGAATGTCTGTGTCCTTTCCAAGGCTAGGAAAGTTTTTGGCTATTATATAGTACACTTTTTAAAATTCCTCACCCGAGGATATTTTTCTATTTATCATTAGCTAGAGTGGGAGGGAGGGAGGGACAGAGAACAGAGAGACAGAGAGAAACATCAATGTGATAGAGCCACATCCATCGACTGGTTGCCTCCTGTGTGACCCGACCAGGGCCTGGTCAAACCGCAACTGAAGCACATGCCCTTGACCGGAGTCGAACCCGAGACTTATTGGTCTGTGGGCTGATGCGCTAATTGCTGAGCCCAAACCAGCCAGGGCCGTTTTTAGCTATTATAAAGTTTCTGTCCCTTTCTCTCTTTCTTTTCCTTCTGGATCCTTATAATGAGAATGTTTGAGTACTTGATGTTATCCCAGAAGTCCCTTAAACTGTCCTCTTTTGAAAAAAAAAAAATTATTTTTTCTTTTTGCTGTTCTGATAGGGTGATTTCCAGTAGTCCGTCTTCCAGGTCAGCAATCCATTCTTCTGTCTTAGCTAACCAGCAGCTGATTCTTTCTAACGTATTTTTCACTTCAGTTACTGAATTCCTCAGGTCTGCTTGGTTCTTTATCATACTTTTTAAGTCTTTGCTGAAGTTCTCCCTAAGTTCCTCTACTCCACTCTCAAGTTCGGTGAGCATCTTTATGGATGTTTCTTTGAATTTCTCATTAGGCAAAGTATTTATCTCCATCTCCGTGGTGTGTCCCACCTCCTCCCTGGGGATTTCCTCGTTCCTTTACATGCATTATACCGAATAGCTCTCTCTCCGATCAAAGAAGCGAACTTATGTAGAAGCAGCCATGTGTAGGCTGTGTGACAGGTCCCTGTGGCAGGCCGGTAGGAGTGGGACAGGTGACCAGAGTGTCCAGGGCACCAGCGTGCTGAGCCAGGGCGGCCCAGGTGGGGTCAGGTGTGTGCGGGAATGCCCTGTTGATCCTGCTGCTCCCTTTGTGGGGCTCAATGGCCAGGTGATGTGTCCAGGAACATGCTGCTGTGACCCGGCAGGGAGGCCAGAGCACCTGGGGAGCCTTCGCTCACACGGTGGAGGTGCAGGGGACATAAATAAGGGTGCTCCCCAGCCCTCCCACAGCTCCCCAGCCTCTCTCTGCACTCTCTGTCTTGTCCCTTGCACAGAAAGTGGCCCTGTGGATGAGGGCCCTCTGTTGGCTCCCTGTGCGGAGCAGTTGGGAACGCTGGCTGGAGCGGGGCAGGTACTGTTGCCTGCTGGGCTGGAGCGCCCCTGGCAGGGGGCCTGGTTC